TTCGCGAACTTTTTTTTCATCATTCCTTGTATAGCTGCAGGTAATCCTACTATTGCCTTGAAAACTTAACCATCAGGTAATTGACTAAATGACGAGCATAACAGAATGAATTTTTAAAAGAAAACCTTTCATCATCACATACATGATAAATCATCATCTGAAGAGTAAGTCTGAACTAGATATCATTGAGATGATGGCCATCTCAAAGGGCCCCGCTTTTAGCAATGAACATGAAATAGCGGATAGTTTCTTTTGTTTTGGTTCCAGTTCTTTGGTAATTTCTTGTATTATTGACATTTCACATTCTTTACACCATCTAAATCTGTCAATTAATTCTTCATCAGGTTTAAATGAAAATGGGTCCTGTCTTCTTTGGTTACCTTTCCTCTTTTCATGAGCTTTTCCAAATAATTCACCATATCAATTCTTATAAAATATTCAGCCATATTTATTCCAAACAGAGCTGATATTGCCCGAGTATTCTTGGTGTGTAGTTGAATCAACAAATTTGTGATAAATTTGTGATAAACTTAGTCTCGATTACACTAGCTGCTCCAGGTTTAACGCTGACGTATGTTAAAGTGGCCATTAATGAGTTTATTATAACACCATGATGGGTCTTCAAAAATCGCACCTGGCAATCAAAGCTATTAACTAATTAAAACAAATCGATCAATGATCACAACTCCTGTTTGCCTCTTTAATCGCAATACTTTTGTTATTACATAACTCTGTAAGATTGATCTATAATTAAGTTTATAGGTATCTGGTAGATTGATGTTCTCCAGCGTATTACAAACAGCTTTTAAAGTGCGATTTCTTCCTCGTTTTAGCTTTGTATGTTCTAATTATTCATTAGATTCACTTTCGTCCTCATCCTCATGGAAATACTCCCTTGATCTGAGTCGTCTGTTGGCTCCTTCGGGGTGTAGGTGTATACTTTAAACCTTTAGCAAGTAATTTAATTTCAGAATCTGTAAGGGTCCTGGATGAAAGATTAAAATCCATGCTTTAGGATCCGTTGATGTGATGTATTTTTAGGACGATTTATTCGTACGTAAATTAATGGATTATTTTCCCGTAAAATACGGGGTTTATATCTCTCGCCTTAATTGGGTTTGCCTCCTTCTGTAAATAGTTTGCTCTAGAGTCGCGAAGTAAGGAGTCAATCCTAACGTTGTAGGTTCGAATCCCACTGTGGGACGTGAAGACAGGTCCTCTGGATGAGACCGTATGAACGGAGGTCCCGTGTCGCAGGTGCTGGCACGGAAAAGATCCCTCCCTGCTCAATAACCCCGAGGGCCGAGCATAGGACAAAATTTGTAGCTCTCCACCGGCAAGTGCTAGCGACTGCATGAGTCAAAATTCTCTTGAGGGACGTTAAACAATATACAATCAATCAATTCAATATAGGTAGTGTGTTTTACATTGTAGATGTCAAATTTGTTGTTTTAATCTCATATGTTGATGCTTTTTAGCTGACCTGAGCCGAAGGCTCAAGTGAGCTTTTCTGATCAAAATTTGTCCGTTGTCTGTTATTGTCGTCGTAAATTTTTCACATTTTTATCTTCTCAAGAACCACTGGGCCAATTTTAACCAAACTTGCTACAAAGTATCCTTGGGAAAAGGGGATTCACGTTCCTTCAAATGAAGGGCCACGTCCTCTTCCAAGGGAGATAAATATGAATTAGTGAAAATTTAATGGAATTTTTAAAAAATCTTCTTCTCAAGAACCACTGGGCCAGGAAAGATGAAACTCATGTGAAAATCATGACCCCCGGGGGTACATGTAGGTTGGGGCCACAATGGCCGATCAAAGTTTTACATAGGAGTATAAAGGAAAATCCTTAAAAATCTTCTCAAGAACCACTGGGCCAGGAAAGATGAAACTCGTGTGTAATCATCATCAGGTAGTGTAGATTCAAGTTTGTTCAGATCATGACCCCCGGGGGTAGGGTGGGGCCACAATGGCCGATGAAAGTTTTACATAGGAGTATTTAGAAAAAATCTTTAAAAATCTTCTTTTTAAGAACCACTGGGCCAGGAAAGATGAAACTCATACGTAATCATCATCAGGTAGTGTACATTCAAGTTTGTTCAAATCATCACCCCCTGGGGTAGGGTGGGGCCACAATGGCCGATCAAAGTTTTACATAGGAGTATATAGGAAAAATCTTCTTCTCAAGAACAATTGAGACAAGAAATATGAAACTTATGTGGAATCATCTTCAGGTAGTGTAGATATAAGTTTGTTCAAATCGTGACCCCCGGGGGTAGGGCGGGGTCACAATGGCCGATTAAAGTTTTACATAGGAATATATAGGGAAATCTTTTTAAATCTACTTTTCAAGTACTTCAAAGCCATGAATAGTGATGTTTATATGGAATCAACCAACCTCCTTAGTGTAGATTTTAGTTTGTTCATATCATAACAAACCCCCCCCCCCCCCCCCCCCCCCAGGGATAGGGTGGGACCACAAAGGTCGATCAAAGTTTTACGTAGAAAAATAAAGGAAAATAGAATAAAGGAAAATCTCAAGAACAGAAGAGCTATGTTTAGGTGCTCAGGTGAGCGATGTGGCCCCTGGGCCTCTTGTTAATTTGTTGTGATTAACTGGAGGATTTATGCGGCGAGTAGTCTTGCGTGGATGGTTATTTTGTTGACTACTGCATGTAGCCTGCATTGAGTTTTCCGGTTGTTCCTCGCTACAGTCTTGTCATTCCAATTTTCTCCGTGTATTGGACACATTAGCTGCATGTGATGTTTACGATAATGAGTACAAAGTTATGGATAAACACTGGAAGAAAAATTTCATAATTCGGTATATCTTTCTTATGGATAAACTTGGTAGGTTCAAGCTTGGTCTGTATCCATCTTCCTCATTTGAATATGTTTTATTACTCACAGTAGATGCATAACTTAAATGGGAGGGTTGGGTTTTCTTAGACTGAGTTTTTGGTGCTGGTTTTTTGCTGAGTTTATTGGTTTTAACTACTTCTTACCCATATGTTCGTTCTTAATCTAATAGCTAAGCCTCTGAACATCTCCATTCTATTGTTCGATTTATCTTCCTCCTTTTTGGCATTCTGCATTCCACATTTCTCGAAGCAAATCTAAAATATATATTTATATAATATAGTATGATCATTCTTTCATGAATGTACTGCATTTTATCATATGCCATGAAGGAAATAATGAATGGATCGGCAAATTGTATATCAATATCTGCAAAGACTAGTCTCAGTTTGTCTACATCGAATACAGGTAAGAAGTATGAAAATGATCCATGGGGATGTGTCATTTCGTACGAGTGGAATGATTATACGGCCTAAGAGAGACGTGTCAACTTCCATTAGTGGAGTAACATTGTTAACTGTTAGAGAAGGGGAAAAGATGAAATTTTCTCTTTTAAAAACGATTATGATGCATCGTGTCAACTTTTGACTTTTTTTTTTTTTTTGTTTACATCTTTTCATTTGCATTTTTGATGTCTACTGCAGGTGTGCACTGCAAGAATAGAGAATGAAAAGAAAGAGGAAAAAGGTGTTTTCTGTTTAACATGTAATGAACAAGTCAGTTGTCATTGATAATAATTACTGGATGAGTAACAACCAACGATTCGGAACTTACACACTTACAAGACCAATGTTTTATTTTCTGACACTGTTTGAGAAGAAAAACTATTCCGCTATTTCCTTCCTTGAATTCACTCAATTGTAGAACCAAAATGATCGATTGGGAATAGAATACAATTCACGCAAAAATGTTAATAATTTCAGAAAATATGCATCGAACCTGTGCATGCAATTCACATTCAAAATCTTGCCTTTTATTATTATTGTTGATCTTGACCTTGTTTTGCAACATTTATTTTCCAGTGCAAATGAATCGTAGTTACGTAAACGCTGCAGCGAAAACGCAATTTTTACGCAGGTAGTTTGGAAAATTAAAAAGTTCGTTACTTGTTAAACAAGTAATGAATTATTATATATGGATGTTATTTTACATGAACCGCGTGGCATTGCTGACGAGCCAGTTCTCTCTTGGTGGAAATATGACCACACTTCTCGATTGAAACTGTATTAAAAAAATAATGTTTAAATATGTAATTTCATCTGAATATAGGATCAGAAACAAAATGATCAATCTATTGATTTAAAAAATCTCACTTCATTTAATCTCAGTGTCTAAAATACTTTCCCATCACTCTTGGCATTTTTTGTAGTTAAAGAAGTAATTAAGTTGTTGAAAACTTTTTCATGTAAAATGGAATGTTTATTAAAAATGACAATTTTTGTTGTGAGTGAAATATACGTTTCAGGAAGCACCTACAAAATAATTAACGGAGACTTTTCTAAAACTGTATTGTGTCTGAGGTGTAGTACATGTATGTTTACGAAAAAAGTCACATGTACCACCATAGTATGATTATTATAACATCAAACAGAATAGAACTAAATTAAATAATACAACAGAAGGTTTCAAATGTATTCGGATTTTGTCTTAGATGAGAATCGACAAAAAAACTCACGAAGAGAGTAACTAGCAGGAAGATCTACCAGTTCGTGAAAAATCCCGATTGGTTCCTAGAATGATCTTTTCAATTGTTTTGAAGGAGAAAAATCTTAAGATCTATAAGCTAGTTACTCATAACAATTTGTGGCGTTTTTTTCGAAAAACTTTTTAGACAGGGACATGTGCTTCTCCAGATCTAATTTGTCTTTTGCTAGATTTTTCTTAATACGAAACGATTACAAAATCTCACACCTGGGAATTGACTAAAACAAGGTAATGATAACTTTTAAAAACTGTATTTTAAAAGTAAACATCTTAATGGGTTTTTCAACAGGTATATAAATACCTAATTATATCACAGGGAAAATTGCTAGTCTTCATCACTCGACAACGTGACAGGAGTATATATAAGACGGGGCACGATAAGGTTTGTCATCAGTGTTTGGTTACCTGGACAAGCGTATTCATACCTTAATATATATATTAACGAGTGTTTGTTCGTAGTGAATTATTTTGTGTTTATTACTGGATTGTTTCTTAATTCATTCATTTTGATCGCACTGAAAGGTGAGAAAAATATTTGTGCAGTAATAACAATTTGTACAGATCGGTATAATCCTAATAACGAATTCAAATTTGCATTTATTTCATTGACTAGTTACTTAACATTTTTAAAGAAACAGAAAACAATATTTACTGTGTAGCAATGAATCTTTTTTTTGCAAAATGTATTTGTTTTCAAGGAAATAGAATTCAGGAATTTTTTAATAAATAAACAAATACCTACCTAAATATTTTTTATTTGAATTTTTATTTATTTTTGGAGGGGGGATTAATGAAAGTTCTCTTCCACTTCTAATAAGCCAGAATATAAATGAAAATATTATGCGTTTCCTTTTTCATATTTATTGGAACAGAGAGAAAAGTCAGAACTATTTGAAATGGTAATTTAAGCTTTAACCAAGTCTGTTCAAGGCTCTCTTTGTCTCTTTTTACAATTCCACTAAGTTCAGTACTCGGTGACATGGATCATGTAAACCTGCGTTCTGATTTGTACTGAATATCAATCACAGATAATGAATTCAAAGTATGCTCATGTTTTATGAAGCAGCACTAAAAGATCAAGAGGTGATTATGAATTGATAGACAGTACAAAGCGGCATTAAATGTTTGAGTGATTTAATGTGATTAGAAATTGTTAATTAATTTCTTGAAATTCCCCATGCCTTTCCTTTTTAAAATCGTATACAAACGTGAGAATTCATATATTCCTGATGATTCTAGATGCTTAGGATATTAACACACTGTACTCTTTAGAGATTGAGTAAAATTACAAAATTTTAAACACACTACACTGTAAAAAGTTGCAAGGTGAAGGTAAAAATAATTAGACTGATGCTAAGAAAATTCCCAATTTTAACTCTTCAAATTAATCATTTTAATGGCAATCCTCCTCTTGATGACTTTATGATTTAGGAAATGAAACATATACCGAATCCTCCTCCAGTGATAAACGAGAATGAATTAATCTTTTAAGTTACACGCATCGTCAGGATGATTTCTTTGAAGTTGTAAAACGTTTAAACGCAGAAAAGGTCACGCATTAGTTTTCATGTAAAGGTAGAATATAATTCATACAATTAATTTGGTGAGAAAAAAAACTGGACCTTTAATATTTATATTTTTCTTTCAGAAAAATGAAGCGAACCAAAAGTTCTTCCCCAAGAAACAGCTTTACGCTGAGACATTCGAGCTCCACCTGGAGTATTATATCGTCAAAACGTGAAAGAAAAGGGTCTCCACCATTAACACGACAAATATCCTCATCAGATAATGTTCTGGCAGACATCAACAAACTCGATTCCAAAGGAAGAAGCCTGCTCTTCCTTGCCGCAAGATGTGATCAGCCGGAAGTGGCCGTCCAGCTTTTGGCGGCAGGATGTGATGCCAACCTTGCTGACAGCGAGGGCAATACGCCACTGCACGAGGCTGCAGAAGCGGGACACTTAGAAGTACTCCGAATTTTACTCAAGAATGGTATGACAATTCTCCCATTACTTTAATTGTTTACAAATTTCTCAAGGTTTGGAAAAATTGGATAAACTTGAATTCACAATTCAGCATAAGTTTCAGAAATAAAAGAAAATACTTTGATATGCATGTTCATGAAAAAATAATACTTGTTTTGGGCATTTATCATCTGAATTGTGTTTTGCAGGAAAATGTGACGTAAACGCTAAGAACGTTTTTGGTCAGACTCCACTCATGCGAGCAGTGTTCAACGAAAATCTAGAGGTCGTCAAGCTGCTCGTAAAAGCAGGTGTGTAGACATTCAAAATTATGCATGTCTGTGCTCCTTTATTTCCTGCTAAGACATTAACATGCAATGTATACATAAATCTTATTTAAAAACAAAAGAATTAAATTACACCACTTTTCTTCTCGGAATAATAATGTTAAAATTTATTTTCCGGGTTTTGCGTTGATTTTTTAATGATTTGGGGATGTTGATAGTAAATAGACATTTTATGAATGAAGAAACATAAACCTGTCCTATTTGACATGCGTAACCATTTTGTCCTGTGATTTACAGGGTCAGACCTGCACGTCCTGGATCACCTAGGAAAGTCCTCGCTGATGATTGGAGTACAGGAGGGGGCAGAAAAATCATGCCTCTATCTCATCAAAGCCGGCAGTGACGTCAATCTTGCTGACCACGAAGGCCATTCAGTTCTATTTTACGCCGTCCATTCGTCATACCTTCACACACTGGATGTGGCAAGAAAGCTAATGAAAGCTGGTAAGAGACTAGTCTGTCCTATTTATATCTTTATGAAGGCCATAACATCGTTTAATTGATGGTTTTGTCTTTTCTGTGTTTTATTAGTATATTTAAAAATATGTAAGTGAATGAAAAATGAAGTATGTTCAGAATTATAGAAAACAGATAAAATCTGCTTGATTTCACTCTGCTTTTTCTTACACATAATCTTTTTCTTTCTAGGCTGTGATATCATGAAAAACGCTTCTTGGTTATTGGAAAGTAAAAACGACGAGAACTGTCTCCTACTACAGGATCCCAAATTCCACTCCCTGCTGGTATCTAAAGTGGAACCCAAAGAAAGGCAAAAGAAACATGACTTAATTTCCTCTTTAAAAATTACATTCCAAGGACGTTCACATAGAGACCAGAGTAGGGATATTCGTAGTGCAACATTGTAAAATTTATTGTGGGCTATGATTTTGCACTCAGTGAGACATAGTCATTGTCGATTCTTTCGAACAAAACATGCATATTTTGATTTCGATTTGCATGGATATGTTCAAAGAGCTGCTTGTACTTTGATGAATTTGTGTATACTTAATGCAATGATTTGTTGTAATAAAATATTTAAAAACTTTTTGAAATTTCATTCAACTTTCCAAAAGAGTTGGCTTTCATTAACTTATATTAAACACTAGAGGTACTGTGAGCAATGAGCTCAGTAAATGATACCCCCACCTCCCATATGAATATAATGGCAGTGTCCATGTTTTGCCACTGGAAATTTTCCTCACTATATTGTTTTACGGTAACTTGTAAAGAGGAATAACTAGTGGTGTCCCATACGATGGCGGATATGAGCCGTCAAAATACAAGTAAGAGTAGCTCTATTATGTACGCAGAATCAGTGGCAAAACACAAGAAGTAGTAGTAGTAATTTGTATATGTACAAATCTTGAGACAAAATACACTCGAGACTACTTAACATTCCTTAGATTTATTGGGAAGATTATCTGTAAACTTAGAAGGGACAAAATCAAATACACGTGTTTCTGATTTTTCTTTTATTCTGTAAAATAAATGCTGTGTATCTCACTTCAATTGATCACAAAATGCATTGTTTTCGTCTTTGATCTCATTGAATATTTTGTGTCTCTTTTCAGATTCCTCTGGGTTTTTTTTATTTTAACTTTTACGACAACAAAATCTTAACCTTCATTCATAGGCCGCAAGATACTTTTTAAAGATGATCTCAGTAAGAAATGTGTTTATTTTACATAATATACTTTGTCCTCTTACCATATTACTTTTTTCTTCATGATTAGTCTTCTTATTGGAAGGAAGAAACAGTATTTAGATTTCTGTAAACTGAGACGGAGACGGAGAAACATGTGTTTTTGTTCTTATTTTTTTTTATTGCGAATGGGTAAATACATGATGTATGCCAATGCTTTTTTAAAAAGGTAATTGGACACAGATTTGAAGTTAATATTTTCTCTATAATATTACGACTTAGATATTTTAATAGCATTTCACACAAAAATATTATTTCATCTTTAAGTAATTGAAATTTCAAATGATTGACACATCCTTGCACTCAGCGATCTAATCTGTCGGGTTTTTTTCCATCATTGAAGGCATATTTTATGAGAGTCGTTATTCAGATTCAATAGTAAATGAGCTGCATTTTATGTAAAAAGTTATATGTATTTCCTCATTCTAATTTTTCCTTGTTCCAGTGAGAAAAAAATAACGAAAAAAAAGTAATAATGAAACGCAAAGCACAGAATGAAAAATAATCACATTTAAATTCTTACATATATCATCAAACACCCAAATTTTCATCTGGCTGGAAAAGAAATAATAAAAATAAAGCTCCATTGTTTCTAAAATCTTTTTCCGGTATTTTGGAGCCTACAAATGAAAGTAAAGATTTTGTTGCTGTGAAAGTTAAAATAAAAAAAAAGACAAAAACAACAACAAAATACAGAAGGATCTAAGGCGAAAATAAAAACACTCTTTCTGCATTTTGTGTTCTATTGAAGTAAGGTATACAAGAATTATTAAACAACTAAAAATGAGAGGAACAGGAGGAAAAAGATGAAAAATCAGAAACACGTCTATTTGATTTTGTCTCTTCTAGGTTAACAGATAATCTTCCCAATAAATCTAAGGAATGTTGAGTAGTCTCGAGTGTATTTTGTCTCAAGATTTGTACATGTACAAATTACTATTACTACTTCTTGTGTTTTGCCACTGATTCTGCGTACATAATAGAGCTACTCTTACTTGTATTTTGACGGCTCATATCGGCCATCGTAGTCCCATGTTATTCCGAAGCCGCCACACCTCACGTCATAGGTAAGAATATAATGGCAGTGTCATATTTTGCTATGGGATAACAAAAATATGTGTCGGATCAAAAAGTAAAATAGGAGGTGCACAATGGCATTATGCAATAAAGATTCTCTAATAGTCTCATCAAATTTCATTCATTGGTATAAGAGGAGTTGCGGATAAGAGATGGGTACCCCAAAGCGTAACAGACAGACGGACGGACATCCTGATTACTTTATACCCTCCCGCTTTTCAAGCGGGGGATATTAAAATGATTTTCGGGATAATGTGATGTAACTTGAAAACAGCTTCTTTTAAAAAAATATACCTACCAGGCTAGTTTTCAAATTTCTGGTTATAGGCAAAAATAGATGCAAACTAAAGGTACTGTGAGCAATGAGCTCACTAAATGATGCCCACCGCCTCCCATATAGTTATAATGGCAAAGTCCATGTTTTACTGTGGCCGGGAAACCCAAAATTTGTGTCGGATCAAAAAAGTAAAATAGGAGGTGCACAATGGCAGTATGTAATAAAGATTCTGTGAACGTTTCATTAAAGTTCACTCAGTGGTATAAGAGAAGTTGCGGATAAGAGATGGGTTCATGTACCCCAAAGCGTAACAGAGAGACGGACTTACAGACAGACGGACGGGCGAACATACCGATTACAGTATACCCTCCCACTTTTCAAGCGGGAGTATAAAATTATATTCATTGAAATATGCTGAGTTTCTCTGTTTATTGAAAAACAAAATTTTTGAGACAGAATCTGTGTCTTGCTGATGGTAAATTATGCATTTTATATTTTAAATGGCAGTTCTTTTTGAAAAAATATCTACAGCTTTCACATGGGCATTATTTCTAAAGCTAGAGGTACTGTGAGCAATGAGCTCACTAAGTGATATCCCCGCCTCCCATATGCATATAATGGCAGTGTCCATGTTTTGCAATGGGAAATCCAAAATACGTGTCAAATCGAAATGTAAAATAGTAGGTGTACAATAACAATATGTGATTAAGATTCTTCGAAAGTTTCATCAAATTTCATTCAGTGGTATGAGAGGAGTTGCAGACAAGAGATGGGTACCCCAAAGGTAACGGACAGACATCCCGATTACTATATATATACTCCTGCTTTTCAAGCGGGGGTATAATAATTCCCCGTCCCCAGACCGTACCATTATGTTCTCTATATTCCCAGCTTGAAAAGAGGGAGGGTATATGGTATGTAATCGGGACGTCCTTCCGTCTGTACGTCCGTCCGTCTGTTACACTTTGGATTATCAATCTCTCCGCAAATCCTCTCATACCACTGAATGAAATTTGATGAGACTTACAGAGAGTCTTTATCACATATTGCCATTGTGCACCTCTTACTTTACTTTTTGTTCCAACACATATTTTGGGTTTCCCATAGCAAAAAAAAATATATGGACATTGCCCTTATATTCATATGGGAGGAGGGGAGTATCATTTAGTGAGCTCATTGCTCACAGTACCTCAAGTTGAAATTATAATTGCTTGCCTAAGTAGAAAAATGGTTTGGTGCACAGGCGCGAATCCAGGAATTTTTTTCGGGGGGGGGGGGTTCCACCACAGTCCAAAAAAAAATCCAACCCAGAAATTTCTTGACAAGCAAAAAAAAAAAAAAAAAAAAAAAAAAAAAAAAAACAAAAACGTAAACTCGTCAAATACCTATTTCGTTGTGTGTGTGTGTGTGTGTGGGGGGGGGGGGGGGGGTTCGTTGACTTTTAATGCTCCAAACCTTCGACTTTTGATACCAATTTAACACAAATCCGCATTTTCTCATATACGGATGTACCATAGTCTATGGAATCAGAAGCTCACTATTAATATTGTATCATGAAGTATCAATTAAAGGGTCAAGGGCGTGGTAAATGCTATAACGATGATTGATTGTATTTTGTTTAACGTCCCATTCGAGAATTTTTCACTCATACAGGGACGTTACCGTATGCCGGTGAAGGGCTTTAAATTTAGACCTAATTATACTCGGCACTCAGTGCCATTGAGCAGTGTGGGTTAATAACGCCTACCCTGACACGGGACCTACGTTTTTAAGGTCATATCCGAAAGACCCGTGTATTTAACTTCTAGTGCGGAGCGCTTGGCGAAGGAACAGTCACTACCTATTACGTCTTAGGTTTGACGCGGCGCCGCGAACGAGAATCGAAAACCCGGGCCTCCCGATCACGCTAAAACGATGAAGTGACATTAATAGTGATGACGAAGGTGCGATACATCATCGCACTATGGACCTATACCTCGATGCTGCGATAGTGAACTACATGGTCCTATCCGAAGACCATACCACCCCCTTCTCATTTTATACCACAATTGCGAGCAAGCAATGTTTTCACATAATCTTCTGGAAGTATCAATACTGTATATTTCTAATTATACGCGTGGAATAAATTATCGCGTAATTTCGCGAAAAGCGCCACCCGCGAAATAAAATCACTTGCTTTTATTTTTATGGTGCTGAAATATTATTAAGAATTATTATTTTCGTGATTTGACGTCAAAGAGCCAATTCCCGATACTAAGTACTCGCGAAAAAAAAGAAATCTACGGTATTTTACACATATTGTATGTTTTATCAAGACGTGATCAAAGAAATTAGATTTTTTAAAAATCTTTTATTTCACAATTCTCAGCAATACCCATTTACAAATGCCAGTTAACCCGGGTATTTAGGATAATCAGCATAAAAACAACAAAGAAAAAAAACCTACAAAATATAAAAATTTGTTAAAAGTTTAACTTGGTTTTAAAACATGTATGTTTTTGACAAATTTAACATGAAATCTATCTTTTTCTAATGAACTTCTAATGCTTTTTTCTAACATGGACTTTTCTTGTATATTTTCTATTCTGCTTTTCATTTTAAATTTATATATTTTATATGCCAAATATGATATAATAGTATTATAAAAAAGAATTCTTGAATTTGTTTCCAAGTAGAATCCTATAACAATATGTTTCCATTGCACATCGAAGTTCATAACAATATTCAACTTTTGCCATACCCTTTTACATTATCACAATTAAAAATAAGATGTTTTATATCTTCATTTTCATTTCCACAAAATTCACATTTTGCATTTGCTCTTAATTTACATTTTTGTAAAAAAGAATTACAACATAGACTATTATTCAGCAATTTATAATTAAATTCACTCAGACGTTTATCATACATGAGTTTGATTTTATTTTTATAAATATTGCACCAGCGTTCTTTACTCACACAAAAGTTTCGACCTAATATTGATTGATAA